GGGCAAGACTCTGAGCTCACATGCTAACCATGTACTTGGTAAAGTGCCAAAGTTCTAATGTTTTACAAGTGACCCAAAATCACACAACTGATAAATACTTACTATACAAGAAAAGATTCACACGCTGCCTTTCCCAAATGGAAGGAAAACGTGAAATGTACCACACTGTCACAAATGCATATTTTCCAGGGGGGAAACTGGGGGAGAGAGAGCGAGTGTGTAGTCATTTCACAGTTTGCTCAAAAGACTGAGGAATGCATAGCTTTACTAGACCCAAGTCCTCTCCCCTGTTTAACACCCCTGAGTGGTTCTTGGCAGCTCAACATGGCTTCAGCAAAAACCCAGATTTCAAGCTGTACGCCTCTAAATGCAGGAGAGAAATTATTACCCATTAACAGCCTTCGTTTGACCCGTTTGTCCACCTCAGTAAAGGAAGTGGCGTTGTGGTCTGCGGGCTCGGTGGTGGCTTCATCTCGTTCTGTGACACACAGAAAAAAACAATCATTAATAGATTGAGAATCAGTACATGAATACACTACATTTCCCAAATGAAACACAAGCACCGTAACTTCCATATTGGCTTTAGCTCCGGGTGTTGGTCACCTTTCAGTAACCAGATGCATGTTTACACTTGATATATTCAGCCTGCACTGGTGTGCGTCAGATAACACACCAGATCAGTCAAGGGAATCTTGTGACATTGCAGTGATACGCCTGGACCTCACACACAGTGCTGCTGGAAGGAGAGATATTATCCATTATCTGCCGGCTGATCCTTATCCCTCATAACCATTGTGTAGAAAAATGCACACTGCCTAACAGGCTGACTGACAGAGAGAGAGATGTTTCCAGTTACTGTGTTTTCGTTGAAAACTACACCTTGGCTTTGGGCAGAAGTCTAGTTTTGTTTTATTCTTAACAGAAATTAAAATTAGGAAAAAATTGTTATCAGACACAAGAAGAAGAACCCCAAAAATGTATCATCTTTGAAAACTTCTAGATCTTGTTAGAATTTGGAATAATGTTTGTGTGAGTTTGAACAATGTTTGGCTGCACAGCATGACGATGGAATGACTGAGCTACGGTCAGTTGGATTAAAATAGAATTTATGACTGCACCCATCAAAGGATAAAAAATATGCTTTGTAAGGGGGACTCTTAAAAATGGATGTCAGAATATTAAAGACAACAGAAGATTACAGAAAATGTTTAAAGATGTTGGTGCAGCACTTTGTCTTACGTGGTTTTGCATTCCCAATGTTGAGCAACAACAAAGTCAGCAAACAGTGTGCTTACCTACACACGACCTCTTGTCCGGTTGCAGGTTGTACCTGACGTGACACCTGCATATGGGGCCGTTCTCCGTGTCCTCGCAGGTGTGCTGGCAGCCTCCGTTGCCATGGTTACAAGTCACTGCAGGGGGGTCAACGACATGCAACCGTAAGACATATTAGCAGTGCAACATTTGAGGCCAACTGTAGGCGTGTAGCGTGAAGTTAGCTTCATGCCGTCGAGCACGTACAGATGCAGCCTCTCTGGTTCCTGGCCAGCTCGAACCCTGGACGACACTCACAGGCCACGCCCCCTTTGGGTGTCTCTTTGCAGATGTGAGCGCAGCCGTGCTCCTTATTCATACAGTTGAGGCCCTCTGGGATAGAAAGAGGGAGAGAGGTACACAATGAAACTCTCCTACAGTGACTGACCTGCTACACACAAAAGCACACATACTGAGAGATTAGTCTGGCATCTTCAAAGACACTGATTGTTCTCACGCCTTACACAATCCAAAAACATCCACGTCAATGCGGTATCTTTTTTTTTACAAATGTGGAAAGCAGCAGAAACGTTTATAAAAGTACATTCTCTGAAGACAAAGCTTTGCAAACTCTTCTATTATTTACAACAAATTCAATAAAGCTTCGAGCAGAATCACCATTTATATTGATGGGTCACAGCTGAGTGGATAGGTCCACAGGGTTTAAAGAGGATGTCAAGACCCGATGGAGTGGAAAGTGCTTGCATTTAAGTTTACTTCAGTCAAGAAGACAAAACAAAGGCACTGCAGACTAATCTGTGACACAGACCACATAGACCCGAGTGTTGCAGTTATTAACTTATTTTGTTCTCCGGGACACAGATCCTTTTTCCCACAGCATGTTGCTGCTGCAGATAAAAGCTCAGTGACGGGAGCCAGCTTGAACCTGTCACCCTTCAGTGTGCCGTCGATCTTAGATTTTATGTGAATATTGGAGAATTTGCTTCATAATTCTGTGTCTGTTTTTTCATGGCGTAATACAACTAGCAGATACAAGCATCTACTAAAATACACACACACACACACACACACACACACACACACACACACACACACACACACACACACACACAATGCTAATTCAAAACCTCTTTTATAAATGAAATGGGCACTGTTAAAACTTTTACTTCCTCCAGACACTTTTAAACAGCATTTAAATTAGTGGGAGTGTGACTAAATATCCTAAATCTTTCTGAATTGTACTTTAAATACAGTACATCCGTGTTGTCAGGCTGACAGATGCAGGAATGGCTGCTGTTTACAGAACAAGTGTGCATGTTGTACACTCACCAACAGAGCGGTGGATGCATGTGTGCTGGTTGTCGCTGAGGAAGAAGCCCTCTTTGCAGCGGCACTCATAGCTGCCCATGGCGTTAACACAAGTGTGTTGGCACCCACCATTGTTGAACTTGCATTCATCCACATCTACAGGACAGCGGATTGTTTGCATTAGTTAACAGTGTTTACAAAACTCTGGATAAGTATTTGCTATAATCACAAATCAGTTTTCTTACAAACATTAAAGCAGTTTTTTCAAATCACATTTCAGATATAAATATTTAGACATCTTTTAAATCACTGCATGACGAGAACACGTTATATACTTAGTGGTTTAAAGATGATCTTACCGAGACAGTTATGTCCGTCGTGTGCCAAATTGAATCCGTCATAACAAGTGCAGCGATAATTGCCTGGTATATTGTTGCACTCATGTACACAGCCACCATTGTACTCCAAGTCACATTCATCAATGTCTGAGAAGTGAACACATACATCAATGTTCATCTTCTGATCAAAAAGTTAAATTCAAGAACTTTAGTGCAATAGGGGATGCATTGTGTCTATCTTAAAGAAATATTGGAAGACTAAATAAGTACAGATATCACAATTCAGAGATAATACCACAATGGATTAAGAAATGCATCCAACGTCTGTGATTCCACTTTGACACTCGGATGTTTTTTTCAAAACAATATATGAATGTGAATCAAACTGTTCAACAAAAAGCTCATTACCTTCGCAGTGTTTTCCATCTCCTTTAAAACCTGCTTTACATGTGCACTTGTATGAGCCTTGGGTAGTCTGACAAATAGCATCGATGTGACAGCCATCACTTCCCTCTGCACATGGATCTGCTGAAATCCATATGGATCTTATAGGTCATGATTACCAAAACACATTCAAATAGTCTAACAAGTCAAATAGAATTTAGCATTTACCACACATGCACTTTTAAGATTGTCATGTTTAGTGGGAATGTATATTAAAGAAAGAAAGAAGACATTTACCACTAAAGGAGATTTAAGACTAAAACATAAAAGTCTCTGATAATAACAGTATCCTACAGCAGGCAATTTGAAAAAGCTAGTGAGAACTCACCTGAAAGTTACTGAGAGTTACATACAATACAAAACTTATTTTACAAACGTATGTGTACTGGGAGCACATCAGTTCCCAAAGTAATTGGTTTAGAAACTAAACGAAATTGAAAAAAAATCACCACTGTGGAAACAACAAGAGCGCACTCCTTAAAGCGTGCGTAAAGTAGCACTCTCCACGGAAACACAACACACACACACACATGCACTACAGTCCCACCTCGAATATTTGGAAGCGCTGCGCTTTGGCGACTATTTAACAAGAGCAAAAACAAACAAAAGTCCCTTGCAGCCCCAATAGCTCCCATGGTGATATGATCCAAGTTTAGAGGTCTTCTCAAAAGGACGCGTACGCACTGAAGTCGTGAGCGAGCGTCCGCCTCATTTTCATTCTAGCCTGTCAATCTGTTTCACAAGGGGCTTTTGAAAAGAGAAAGGAGTGAGTAAGTGTGTGTGTGTGTGTGTGGTGTGTGTCATTGTGTGTGTGTGTGTGTGTGTGTGTGTGTGTTGGAGAGCGCGCGAGCGCGTACATGTTAGGGTGGAAAAAAAAAAAAAACTTTTGAAGCGTCAAGTCAGTGAGATAGCCAGTGGAAGACCGGAATTGTCGAGACTTTGCGTAAAACGTTACGAAGTCTCTGCGCTAAATGGGCTTTTATTTTGAAAGCTTTTTCCGGGGATGAATTGGTAAATTTGACACTTTTGAGTCCCTTTAAAGCCTTTGGCGTCTGTTTCAAAGTGGACCACGTCAGAATCCATCAATAAAAAGGCTGAACGCACACATTGCAACCACAATTAAATAACATGAATGGTTCGCCATTTTAGCTACCTCCTAGTTCCTACCTCCTAGTTACCTTAGTCCTGGAAAGGGCACTGTCAGGCAAACTACATGGTTGCTAGGCAACATACTTTTGGTTCTTTCTTCGAACACCTATGTTAGCCACACGCACGTGGTGGTGGAGGATGAACAACTAAATATAAAGAAAACGACGGGTACCACTGACTGAAGTTGTGAGTTTTGCCAACATTTCAAATAAGCTAAATCCTTCCTTTCAAACATAACAAAATCCTGAAAGATAAAAAAAAATCTCCCCAAAACAAGCGCTGACGTTAATAACGTGAACATGTATAATAAAACGTGCGCCACCAATAATTTGGTTAAACATATCAACCATAGAATTCAATAGTGACATGCAGTGAAACCCTCCACACTGTGTCAAAGTGCATTAAGTATTCTATGTGGTTTTTGTGCACCACCTACCGGCGCACATAAATATCACAAGCACACTTTTCTCCTTTCATTTTTTTTATTATTACAATACAGATCTACTTTGTCGTACATTATACAAAGAAATATTAAAAAAAAAAAAAGACATTGCATGTTCAAAGGAAGTGCACAAAATTTAAAAAAAGACTCTGAAAGGCTCAACACCAGTTATCAAAATGTCAAGTTAAAAAACGGTTTTGCAATAAATAAATATAAATTACAAGAGAATCATGACAAGGTCAGGTAATTCATTAGGGCACATCTCGCATCCCAAAATGTACCTCGCAAAAACAATATGGCAACTCCCTAAGGACAAAAACAAGCTCATTTCCCAGCTTAAAAGGAAGCAGCATTTCTCCGTTTAATAAGAATCATAAAACATGTTCAGCATTTAACTACCCTGCCGCAGAAACGTTTATATATTAAGCAACTTTACGGATCATTGCCTGTCAATTGATGAAGGTTGAGATTAATTACAATGCAAAAAAATAATAAAGCAACCGTGTCATTACAGTATTCATTTGAGAAAGTATGCACGATGACTAGAATGCTGCAATCTGAGCATTATTTTAACCCAACATACAAGAGAAATACTTTGAGACAATGATGAATTTTGATTAGAAAAATGGTTGAAATAATGGATGCTTTTTATAAGCCAATTTGGTTGAATAGGGATCCATCACTTTACACCTTAATAGTGAGTGATAGACAGCCCCAGAGCACTTCTCACATTCAAAATGTCTGCATAGTTTGAACTTTGACAATTGCTTCTGAAGATGAATTACAGAAATGGTAATAAAACCACATTTTCTGTAAAAATGTAGAGTAATTGTAAAAAAAGAGGCTCACGTTCCTGACCATAAGCTTCACCGATCCCTGCAGTTTACACATATTTCCGCAGAGCATAGGCTACAGTTTTGCACACCTTGACAGAAATATGTCGGAGATAATGAGATGTGAAAATGTGATAAAACCCATTAACTGGCTTAGCGTTCTCACCACCTTTCAGACACACACATACATTTTCTTACAGAAGTATTAGCTTGCTATTCCTGTCATTTAAAAAAAGATTTTGATGTACCAAGAGCAGAAACACTAACTGTATTTACCAAATAAATTTTAAAAACATTTGCTTTAAAACATGCGTCGTCATTTCATTGGAGGCTGTACAAAAGAAATAAATACATCACTTTTGTCATTCCAAAGGGTGGAGGAATGTACTGCATGCATGGCGTCACCACATCTATCCGAGTTAATGGGCACCAACCGATGAGAAAATCTAAACAGTGTTCCAAACTTGTAGCATGCTTAAGCTGTGAAAAGTGTCAGAAAGAGTGTGTGTTGTTGTCTATACAAACACTAAAAGCACATTAAATTCATAGAGAACAACTGTTCCAATGAACCCTGGGGTAACCAACAGCCCTTTGTTGTACTAAGAATCCTACAGACTCACGCAGTCGCACATGTGGAACAAACAGATAAGACAAAACATTGCAACATGTTGGAGAGCCACTCCAACATAAACAATAATGCTGGTATTAGAATAGCTGGTGTCTCTCATATGCACGTACAATTAGAAAAAATTATGGAAAAAAAATATAAAACAGTCTTGATATGTATGAAAAGGGGACAAAAATATTTACAAAACATTGATCACTTAATACAAAATAACCAAAAACAATACCAAATCAGAAACTGAGTATCGACAAAATTTGCTCACTCAACCTATAAATAACACTAATGCCCATAATAATTTTTTTTTTCTTTTTTTCTTTCCTTTCTATAAAAAAAATAAATGAAAATCAATTCTATACAAAAGATAAAAGACACCCATTTAAAAATTAATATTACACAGAAAAGAAACAGCTAACTAGTTGATCTAATTGGGTGGAAATGAGAGGTCTGCCACTGGAGACAAATCCAGGTGGATGCCGTGGATAACCCTACAGGGGGATTCAACAAAAGCAATCACCAGGTTTCTTTCACGTCTTCTGGGAGTTGTGGAGGAAGTGTGTCTGGAAGGTGTGTGGCCACCTGCGTGGACACCAGTGTCTTCTGTTTTTTGGAACTGCAGCAGGGCTTGAAGAGCCGAGGATCAATAATCACCTCTCCAAACCGCCCCTTGTAGACAATCCCACAGCACACCTTTTGCCTAGAAGGGGGAGAAATAAAAATAAACAAGATGAAAGACCCTTTGAGTTATTCATCATATTAAGACACGGCTTCATAAGTTTGTCCTCTCAATGAGAGGAGCAGCTTACCTTTTCCAGTACGAACGGTCCAGGAAAGAGAAGATGGTGGGAGTCGGGCGTCTTTGCTTGGACTCGATGTCTGAGCCATCGTCTGACAGGTTGCTGTAACTGGGGGACTGAGCCGGAGACACACTGGATGTTGTGCTGTGGGCATCGGAGTCTGCTTGGAAAACAAAACAAAAAATGCTGTCATCAAACTGGTTTGGTAAATTCCTGACTACACTTGATTTAAGTTTTAACAATTACAAAAGTAGAATGAAAGTAAGGCAACAAATAGATTGGAATTAGGGCAACAATACCAATTATACTCATAAATTAACCGACAGCAATTTCCTAAAGCCCACACGGACATATTCAAACTGCTTGTTTTGTCTGAATAACAGTTCAAAACCCAAATGTATTCTAAGAAAATCCTAAAATATTAATTTTAGAAGAGTTGGAATCTGTTATTTCCCTTTAAATACAAAATTGAACAATCAATCGTCAAAAATGTTGCAAATTAATTTTCAAAAAATTAGTTTGAGCCCTGATGCAATAGCAGACACACAGTGTGTGCACTAACCAAAACAGCCACAAGGTGCTGCTAACAGTCATTCTTAATCAACCCGAGGGAAGACAACACCAAACCCAAGACTGACACAGTGAAATTCAATGCATTTGTGTGAGCTTCATATTAGGCACTTTTTACTTTAAGTAGTCAACAACAAACATTCCACATCTGACTTGTAAATCTATTTATAAAACAGTACAAGAAAAATCTCTCCACACATGCTAATTAAGATCCAATATATTTAAACAACTTACTTTGTCTCTTTAATTTATGAAGCTTCTTTAGCTTGCTTTTCCTCTTCCCATCACCGCTCTTGATCTTCTTGGGCTTTGTCATCTTGAAGCCTGGTCCAGCCCGGGCATCCACCACCTGAGTCAGACAGACATCAAGTTAATGCCACAACACCACAAACATGATTAACTCACACCGTCAGAAGACATCACTTACGTGGTTCCAGTTCTTCTTGGAGCCATTAGGTAGCTTCTTCCACCTCTTCACAAGCAACACACAGGCATTGCAAATGTCTCCAACACGATCTTCTGACAGCCTTTAAAAAAAATGAATCAAGTGTCATTGATTAAGTTTTCCACGCGGATGCATCAAGTCAATCTATTCATAGACACACGAGCAAAAACACACAATATGAATGAATGAATGAGAGCTTTTTACCCAAAGCACAGCTCGAAGGTCTCTTCATATCGACTGCTGTCTGTGAAGCGTGAACTGGAGGACTTGGTCTTGCAGATGCAACAGCCGTCGTTACTCCGGTAGATCTTTGACTTGTGAAAGCCAAACATAGTCTGTTTGTTGGTCGGTGTTATGGCAAAAATCTGAAAAGCGTAAAACAAAAGATCGGAAATGGTCCCGGTAAAAAGGCACCGTGGATGTCTGCAGACAGTTGAGCTTTCTACTACTGAAAAGGGGGCGGTCCCACAAGTAGACATATAACCAAGCTAGTCGTAACACATAATTTAAACATACGAAAGTCAGCTTTTAGCCATCAAATCATCACATATACGGCCCACAAACACACTAAAAAACAGGACTAACTTTGGCTAAAGCAACAAGCATATTAAAGGAATTTAAAGCCAAGTCGCGGGAACACCAAAAACACAAAAACAGACATTGCACTAACGTTATAACCTGATATTGGTTGCGTTTAATAATCATAACATAAGGACCAGTAATGTTACGTTTTACTGATGCAGGCTTCCAACCTTCCACACAGTCCGCACGCTGAACGCTAGGAATCGCCGAAACGTTACACCCACCACAACATCGCGTGTTACTATCGTTAACTGGCGTTTATGCTACTTTTCTGAACACCAGTCAATGCGTTGGACACTGAACGAGTTTGTTCGCACAAAGACAATAAAGGTGGATGATTTAGTTGATTTGTGACGCTGTTCAGCTTGAGGATTTGTTTGCAGCAGAAACTCGAAACAAAAAGCGGGCAGCAGCGCGTTGTGAAGTGAAGAAACAAAAAGCTACCATTGTACTTAACACATGTGTCTAAATAACACACGGCTATCAGCTTTGCGCCATTCGGGCATTTTGTCAATATTCTTTACAAAACACAAAAAGTTACGATGAACCCATTCTTCCATTTAAATTCAAACTTTTGCCGGCTAGAGCGCCAAATACGGCTCATTGTTGTTAGCTGTTAGCATGCTAGCTAGCCGACTGTGCTACCATTACCACGCCACGCTCTCGTTCACTTCCACGTTATCCCATTGTCGGTTAGTCTTTGTACGTTGAGCTTACAACTACCGGACACGCACAAGTCAGTTTACGACTGCACAACATCACCATCGGTCTCTTCACACATAACACACCAGTCAAACTCCACAAATGTAATGTCTGTACAAGAGAAACAAAAGTGCACTTACTGAACAAAAACTTTGAATCTTCGCCGTATTCTTTTCACCTACTGCGCATGCTCTTACTACTACTGCATACAGCTGTCTATTAGAATATCATTAGCATAAAAAGCAGGAATGAAAGGGCTGAGCGTACAATGACCATATAAGGAGTGAGCCGTTGAGTTTGAACCTGGATTCAACCAATCGCTGCTGTCCTCACGTACTCATCACCAGAGCTGAATGATGGGAGGCGTAGTGAACGAGCGGGAGATTTCTGTTGTCACAGTTGTTAACGTTCTTCTTTCAAACTCAAACTCCCATAAACCACCGGGCCTGATGCGTTAAAGAAAAACGGCTATTTGACAAGGCGCGAACGAGTTTGTTTACATTTTCTCAGCTGAGAAAGCACATTTACCAGAGAATATAACGGCACTAATACAGTAAAATCACTGCTGCGGTACATTTCTGCTCATTTATTTGACATAAAAGGGACTACGATTGGCTGGGAAAGTCAGTTGCAGTTTTTGTATATTATGGGATATTTATCTTTTAAAAAAATTAAGCAAAATGTTTTGAAGTTTAGATTACATTGAGGGCTTCAACTAACAAATATTTTCATTATTTATTAAACAATTTCCAAAAGTGGCAATTTTACGTATTCAAATTGCTTGTTTTGTCTGACCAACAGTCTTTTGATTCACTAAATTAAAGATGAATAAAACCATAAATATTCAAATTTAAGAACCAGTGAATTTGTGAACCCCATTTTCACAGCTGAGAAAGCACATATAGCAGATAATATACGTACATCAATTAATGAATAACTGGTAGGCTAATACAATTAAATTCACTTAAACGCATTACATATGCTTTATTCTTTATGTATTTTTACACTGTACACTGCTGCTCACTTAGTAAACACTACATTACACAGCTATGTTAATAAATGTACAACAGTATTGGAAAACAAAAATATATATCTCCCAAGATGCTCATGTGTGGGTCGTACGCAGACGAGTACAACACTCATTCCAGACGTTGTTGGCACAGAAAAGAATTCCTTTACATATTAAATCTCTTGTTCTGCACAATAAAGTTCAAAGTACGTAACAGAGTAGGGCCTGGCAAGACCTCAAGACATACCATATGTTTGTACGGGGTTGAATTTTCTGTTGTGGATATTGCATAGCAAGAGACCATGATGACAAAATCAGGAGCAGGAAAGAGCTGTCCTTTTTGTTCCTCACATGGGAAGCAGGAGATCATCCTTTATCACGACGAGTCAACACAGATCATCACACTGTTTTTAATCAGAGAAGAGGGATGTAGTGTAAGGGCTGGGGTCATGGTAGGGGAAAGGGCGGGCTGGGGTCATGGTAGGGGAAAGGGCCGGTTGGAGGTATTTACATGAAGGCTTTCATTGTGATCCCACTTTGCACAGAAAGCTGAATCAAGCATCTCTCGGAGGACTTGTGTCTGGAACACAAGCCAAAGACGTGGGGTATTTTACTTCATCCAAATGAATATACGGTCCATCACTGAATACAGGGTTAAGCCACACAGTCTTATTAACGTGCAAAAAGGGTCAGGCTCTCTGCTGAGGGTATTCTGAGGGAAAAGGCCCAAATGTAACAGCCGTTTTATGTCGATGTATGAATCATTCTCCAAACCACAAACCCCCCCGTCATACACATACTTATAAAGCATACTTCTACATCATTTGCTTTAAGCTCTGCGTAATGACATTGGAATCTGAGTTGACAACAGAGCAAGCAACTTGACTGATTAAACAAAATAATACTGTTTTTCTCTGAAAATATCGTAACAGTTTTGATCCTCGCTTTCCCTTAAATATAGCCATTGTTAGCAGTTCACAAGAACAATGAAAATATTTAGCTTTCAGTAAAACATTATAGCACAAGTAGGTCATGGTCAATAATGTGAAAATGATGGTTCATAATAGAAAACATATTTTTAACATCTAATGGCAACATCATCGAGGATAAAAATAACAACATATTTTGAAAGGCTCATCGCACTTAATATATGGCAAATGTAACAGTAGCTTTAATATAAGCCAGAAAATGTCCTTTGTTCAAGTCTTTTCCTGCATATAAAAGGTTAAGTTATTCTTTTTAGTGGTCCCCACTGAAAACCGTCCTGCTCAGGTACAACTGGGGGGAAGTTGGTTTGCTTTTAGATACCAACACCTTTGACAAGCGAAGCCTCCAGGGTGATGTTGAACTCCTGCAGAGTCTGCAGCACCCTAATTAGAGAGTTTACCAAAGAGCGGTCCTTCAGAAGTGCGACGTCTTCGTACATCTGATTGGTGATTGGACAGTCTGCGAGCAGAGCGATCCAGTGATGCAGCAAATGGTCCCTGAGAGAAGAGGACACATGTGGAGTCAACACAACAGCTAAAAGGGTAACTTCAGTATTCTTCAACCTGGATCCTATATCCGTATGACGATTTCTGAAATTGGTCAGGTACCGAGCGAGAGGGTTGTATACAGCAACCGCTCACAAGCTGCAATGCTTGTTGTTTGACATTATGGAAAGAGTCTAGCCCTGTGGCAAGGTTGTCAGACACTAATAATAACAATCTGAGCCCGTCAGTGGCTAAAATAAGCACTTACAATGAAAATAACATCACACTGATGCTGCGCATTTGCCGTCGCAGCTCATTTTGCGGCTGCCGATTACAGCATTATTCCTTAATACTGAACCGTTTCTTTTGTTCGACCAACACTAAAGAAAATATTATATGAAATAGAGGAAAGCTGCAAAGTTTGGCTTTTTTTTTCTTGAGAAGTGACATCAACAATTCATTTATTATGAAAATTGCTGGCAATTAATTTTCTAGAAAAGGATAAAAACACTGCATTGCTACACACTCAATGCACAGAAACATCCACTCTTCAGCAGGAAGGAAGAGCGAAAGGAAAAGTTTGCCGAGGAGGGGAACGTTACTCCGCAGCCTAAATATTACACAAGTTTCACTCTGAAGACTGAACTTCTATTAACAAATGTTTAAAATGTTCATTGGGAGGTTAATGAGTGCTGCCGGCCTACCTTGCACCCAGACAGACGAGCATCTGGAACTTCCCGTCTTTGCCGATATTTCTGGACGTGTTGTTGATGGCGCGCGCGAAGCGGCAGAAGTGGCGTACTCTGGTTTGCCAGTTTTCATCTGGAGTCGCCTCCCGCTGCTCTGCACTTTCAAAGTATACTTGTGACTTTTCTGTTGAAGCAAAAAATAAATAAATCAAAAGGACAAATCAGTTAACAATTGATTACACAGTAATGTGAAGGTCTGTTTGAAGGAATACTTGAGTGTTTACATTTAGATTTTGGGTGGAATATCACTTTAAGGCCTAAGGGGTTAAGTAATATATGGGAGTGATGATATTAAGTTTTTACCCAAGAAGTCCCAGATGAAGACATTTTTAAAGAGTCGGGGTGATTTGAAACCATGCAGGAAAACCTGCTCCAGAGCACAGACGAGGCCGTACTCCCCACAAAGGAGGAGGGTCAGACTGCCTCTCTATGGAGAGCAAAAACAACAAGAAAATGCATGCAGTTAAAACTGATTATAAGGTGGTTTTCTCACAATAACAATTAAAAAGAGCACTTTCTAGATACAGTTCTTAATAGCTTCTCAGATCCAGTTATGTGCATTGAAATAACTACTTTAATGGATTAATAACAGCCTCCCTCCATAGTTCTGTCAGTACTGTGAAGAGGTGGAGTAAAGTGTGAAGGGAATTTCCCTGTAAAAATCCTTTGTACGTTGACTACGCAAGGAATGACTTGTAAAACCTATAATCTACAGATAAGTTACAATAGGCATCTCCTTTGAATTATAATAACCGCACAGTGTGCCTTAATAGGTCATAATTACCAGTGTTGGTACTTTATATTAGCGCCTTTATGACAGAAAAAAAAAAAGAATTTTTTTGATCAAGTATAATACATATACAAACCAACTAAATGTTGTCTGTAATGTGTTTCATGATGATCCTGACAAAGGCCACAAGCTGAAACACGGTGGTCTAAACAGTAAAGTTGTTCTATATGACCTCTTCAGACCAACTCCCTTCTCCATGCACCTGAGAAGTAGGTGAAGTTGTGCCAGAAACCCTCAGTCTGCTTCTACAACTTCGATATTCCAGCAAGAATTCTCCTATGATATGCTTTAACAATGTGAACTACACCACACAGCCCTGAGTTACTGAGAGGCTTGGGGACCAGCGGAGCAGAAAGCTGCTGTTCATTATTTTTGATGAATAATAGAACTACATGTTGGGGCCTGTCTAGACTGCCGTCTCTCACCTCCTTCTCTGGCTTGTGGAAGTGCTTCACGATCCCATTGATGGCCTCTCCCACTCCCTCCTGGATCTGACCTGTGTTTAACTCTGGATGAGGAGGACAAAAAGCAAACAAAGATGCTGTGAGACAATACAAGCATACAATAATTTCAAGCATCAGTGAGCAGGAACAAGTGGATACACTGTTGTGCTATGCTTCTAAGATTGAGTTGAATCTCAAATCTCTCAGCTAGTATAAAACAAACAGCACTATCATTAGGAGTTATAGTGACTTATGGTTGTGAAGTTGAGTAACTTACTTGGTCTGCTGTTTGGCGAAATGGTCACAAACCTCCTCATCATCCCGGGTGACTGCTGCATCGGGGGTGTGCGGCACATCCTTTCATCATTCTCCGTGCTGGGGGTCATCAGCTCTCCCACCAGGATCCTCTCCAAACTGCCGTCATCCACGCCCTTCCCCAACCACCGGCCACACGGAAACCTGCACAACACATTTTGTTCATCCTTTTTGAGAATGGTGCGGTCAAAACAGTATTACAGGAGGTGAATTTATAATAACGGTGAATTTCTCTCCAAAGAGACGCTTACTTGTAAGTGTGCCCCGTGATCTCGTTTCGGACCACAACACACTCCACGAGCCACTTTGCGTAGAGCCCCGTGTTATCGT